ATATGCAATTCTTGATTCTCTTCAAAGGACAATGACAATGTCTAGAGGGACATCATAGAAAATACATTTGGACCAGAAAAACTTGTGATATTTTGAGGTATGGACCATAAATACTTCTGACATTTTGAAGTTTGAACTAAGGTTTTGTAGGTAAAAGAATTAATTATATCGAGAGATTTAATAAATTAGGATTTTTTTTTATTGGTTTAGGTCATTAATTTGAGGACGTAAATCGAATTCACTATGCAAAGTTTCTCGCGAATCACAACACAAGTTGCATCACTAGTTTAATTGACTAATCAAAGTAGCAATGGTAACGTATTAGATTGAAGTTGAAGTCTACGACACTCTCAATTAAAACATAAATTGGATGCCACAATAAATTGAATTGAATTTTACCATTTTTGCTTCCTCAACACGAATCTTAAAATACATGAATGAGTTAGCTTATGTAAACAAAAATAAATAACTTCTAGCTTGCTTAAATACTATCGTTTAAAAATGCTTCTCTGAAAAACATGAAATTCGGGTTTAATGCAAAGTCACAACATCAAAGCATCAACGAGTTTGACGAAACTTTAAAAAGTAATGTTACTTCCAACTAACTTTTTGTCTAAAAAATATTTGAATAGCTTACTTTTTTTGTAAGAAGAAAAAATTTAATTGATTTTGATCGTTGGACAAATTTCTTTAGCATTTGAGTTCATTTGAATTGCCACAAACGGATATTGTGAGAGAAAATTATGACCAAATTACTGACACCTGTATAGAGACAAAAAAACATGCGCTCGTGAGGACTACTTTCCTTATTTGATTGAAATTCTTTTGAAAACCAATTTGGACGTGATTTTCAATTAAATTTCTACTCTCACAAATATCTAACAACATAATATATATTAGCACTTCTCATATACATTTCATACTACAATATGTTATCAATCATTATTATAAAAAAAAGGCAAAATCATATATTACGAGAATATTTTAAATGCGAAGTTCAATAACTCATCAATTGGATATTAAACATGGGATTTGTGAGCAAATGAGCGAAAGAATTATTGAATATTTATCAAGATTGCTTTGAAATAATTCAAGAATATCAAGATTCATCTTCCTTCGGTCATTGATTCACAATTCCGGGTGATGTTCTATACATTAATGTGATTTTTTGTAATTCCAATATGCTGGCTAATTTTATACATTTTAGGATGAGATGAACCCTTATTATGATATTTTTAATTAATTATTTTGACTTTAATTTGGTTTGATTTGTGGATGTTTATTATCTTTTTATCGTTATTTTCAATTGTTTGATCAATCTACTGAATTGTTAATGATTTTTTTTTTTTTTTTTGTTATCGAGAGAAATAATAGGGTTTAAGCACAATATAATAAATATTGTAAGATTCAATAGAGGATAGAGATATACATTTATGCTTTGTGGTTTCGATAAATGTTCTAATACTTGTTAATGCATTTATCATGTTTGCATTTTTCATCGAAAGGTAGAAGTTGTCACACGAGAAGAATAAATTAGATCGCCATCGAAAGAGACTTTCAATTAAATTAGGAACATTGACCAAAATGAATAATTTCAAATTGTCACTTTAATTGTTATGCTAAAAATGGAATAATAAGGGGGATTCTATATCTTACACTAGTTTAATTGATGATTTAGGAATTAGTGTAGAAAAATCACAACTTATTTGCTATTTGATTAAAGTTGCAATTAATTTTAACTAAGTAAAGCACATAATTCTCGTGGATTCGACACTCTATTCATCATTATATTATTTCATCACGGTCTCGTCCACTTGCCATTTTTTAAATGGCCAATCACTGTAAACGTTATCTATGTTTTAATTTTTCTTATTTTGGTGTTGGAACCAGTTAGTTGGATTGCTTGGTTCTCAAGCAACAAATCAAAACCCCCCATTCTCATTCTCTCATGCACAAAATATTCTCATCAATAATGTCTACAGTTCAT